TTCATATAGAGTGGAGTAGCTCACGGGAGAGTCAAGTTTTAAAGTCAGCCTGTGAGGGAAACTGCATAGGGATCAGAATTATCCTTAAAAATTCCTTAGGAGGTACAAGGTTGTACATCAGGGCCATTCTGTTTCTCAGTAAATCTAGCACAGTTTTTCCTTAAGCCTTTAAACTTGTTACTGTTTCTCTGGTTGCAACCCAGGTAAAGTAATTAGCCTAGCTTTAGGGTCTGTGTTGCACAAATAAACATATTTGAATGGAATAGAGTCCTTCCACGTTGTGAGGTGTGCTGTGCCCTGCTGGCACGGAGAGGCACTGAGAGAGGAGGAAGACTGACCAAGGAGAACAGTATGTTTGTGATTCCCGTCTTACGCTTCTTCCAGAGCATGTGCTCGCTGAGTGGAAAGTAGCAGGCAAAATTGCTGGCATCATTCAGTATCATTATTTCTCTTCTTTGGCTAACATAACCAGTAATCTATGCTAAGCTAAATGTGCATAAGGTGATTCCTTTTCAGCTTTCGAGTGGCATTACATTTTGGGGTTTGCAAGCTATTCCCCCACAATTTTCCTAGATAAGGGTTTGGTGTGAGAACTCATCTTAGGTATTTTTGCCAGTGGTCTGCACTTATGTTCCCCATTTATCAGATATATATAGCAATGGTTAGCTTTTTGAAAGTGGCTTAGCTTTTTAAAAAAATTTTCTTGGAAATGGAAGTCATGATAGTGCTTTTTAAATTTAATGTGTCTAAATTTCTGTTTTATCTGCAAAATGTAGTGAAGACACCACTGTACAAAGTTGTTGTGAGGTTTGTCCACTGTTAACTTTGAAGCAAAATCCCACATTTTGTATCACCTGTACTCTGTTTTGCATTATCTCTAAAAGATGAGGACTCTTTTTTAAATTTATTTTTTTTTTCAACGTTTATTTATTTTTGGGACAGAGAGAGACAGAGCATGAACGGGGGAGGGGCAGAGAGAGAGGGAGACACAGAATCGGAAACAGACTCCAGGCTCTGAGCCATCAGCCCAGAGCCCGACGCGGGGCTCGAAGTCACGGACCGCGAGATTGTGACCTGGCTGAAGTCGGAAGCTTAACTGACTGCGCCACCCAGGCGCCCCGAGGACTCTTTTTAAAAAAAAACAAAACATGACAATATAACACCAAAAAAAAAAAGCAACCCCCCAAACAAAACCAAAACCAGCCATTATTCAGACTTTTGTCTTAAAAATGTCAGTTTAAAAAGATTTCTAATAGTTTGTTTAAAGCGGGACCTAATTAAGGTCTGTAGATTTCGATGGGCTGATACGTCTCTTGAGAGTCTTTTACTTTTTAAAAAAATTTTTTTGTGTATTTATTTATTTATTTAGTTAGTTAGAGGGAGAGCATGAGCAGGGGAGAGGCAGAGAGAGAGAGAATCCGAAGCAGGCTCCACAGTACTCGTGCAGAACCCGATGTGGGGCTTGAACTCACGAACCATGAGATCATGACCTGAGCCCAAACCCGATTTGGGCGCTTAACCGACCGAGCCACCCAGACACCCAGTAGAGTCTTTTACTTTTAGTACTTGCAATTTGTTGAAAAATCTGGGTTATTCTGTAGATTCCCACAGTAGTTTCTGGATTTTGCTGATTGCCTTTCTGTGGTGTCATTTATCATGTTCCTCTGTCCTCTTTGTTTCCTGTAAATTGGTTCTGTAAATTTGGTCAGATTCAAGTTAGATTTTTTTTTGGCAAGACTTATTCATAGTGGTGATGTATTGTGTCAGGAGGCAATGGTATGTGGTTGTCTCTTTTTATAGTAATTACAGCCATTGTGATATTTTAACAACTTTATTGATGTGTAATTCATACTATAAAACTTACCCATTTTAATGTAGAGTTCAGTGATTTTTACTAAATATATGAAGCTGTGCAGTCATCAGATAGTTGAGTTTGGTAACATTTCTATCACCTCAATAGCATACCTCATGCCATTTACAGTTAATCCCCATTCCCATCCCACTGCTGTAGTCTACTTTCTGCCTTTATAGATTTGCCTTTTCTGGGTATTCCATATAGATGCCATTTTGATATTGCCCAGATCTATGAATTCTTTGGGAGTTACAGAACAGTGAGATTCTCTCAGTCCGTATTTCTTAGCTTTATAATTTCTATTAAAAGAAACTTTTCCTCACCTCTTAAGTTACTTAGTACAATTTACATAGGAAAGACAAGACACGTATTTTAAAAAATAGATTGATTTACTAGCATTCTCTAGTGGTGACCAGTGAGGTTTATTTTCTTAGGTTTAAATCCATGAGTTCATAGTGAATTGTCGGAGAAGTCTGAATACATTGTACTGACTATTCATAATGGTGTTTATATTATCTTTTCTTTGACCAGAGGGAGCCTCTTCAGATTATTTCCTGAGTTTTTTTTTTTTTTTTTTTTTTTTTTTTTTTTTTTTTGACACACCCTTAAGAGCTTCTTAGCTGGGGAGCCTGGTTCTAAGGGTTTAGTGTAAATACTTAGTTGTCTTCTTTTTAAGTCTGCTCTTTTCTGCTTGGAGGCCAAAGGCATATTTTTGCTTGGGTCCCTTTTGCTGCTTCACTCTTAGGGAAACGTATTCATAGTCATACCCACTTCCCCTGCAGTAGTTTATGGTTGTGTTTGAAACAATACCAGTCTACGGCCATACCACCCTGAATGTGCCCAATCTCTGAAATGACACCAGAAAGGAAGTGCATTGTTTCAGTTAGGAAAATAAGGAAGTGAAGTGGTACTGATTTAACATTAATGGGCATAAAAATGGCTTTGTGCCATCTTGCAGGAGAAAACCTTAAACACAACGTAGAATTGAATCCGAGTCCTTGCATTCTCTTAATTATGGTCATATAGTGGAATTTACTCCACACTCAGTTTGGACTTCACCCCTTTTGGATGTTCTTTATATGTTCATCTGCAAGTCTTTAATTCATACCATTGTGTACAGAACGGAAATGAGAAGAAATGGATTCTGCCTTTAACAAGTGTCCACCCATATTTGTTAGGAATATACCACAGTCTACTTAAGTTTTAGAGTAATTACAGTAAGTCTGTTATAATTTCAGAGAAACATCTGTTGAAGTGTAGGATACCTTGAATAAATGGAATCTTTCAGGGTTGCTGACAGACCAACAGGTTTCCCAGAACTTTCTCGGAGAAATGATGACGTTTGAGAATGACAGTTTTGTTTTGATCCGGATTCTTATGGTTGCATCTACCTGTCAGGAAAGTAGGAAGGAAAGATTTCATTTTACTGTTTCTAGGAATTTTCCTCTGAATACGTGTATATACTGGAGTCCACTCTTACATTGTGTTGAGTATTCCCTGTGGTGGGGTTGCCTTTTTAATTTTTTAAAGTTTATTTATTTATTTTGAGAAAGAGCATGAGCAGGGGAGGGAGGGAGAGAGAGAGAATCCCAAGCAGGCTCTGCGGGGTCAGCAGAGAGCCCTATGTGGGGCTCAGTCTCATGAACTGTGAGATCATGACTTGAGCTGAAAATCAGGAGTCAGACACTTAACTGACTGAGCTGCCAGGCGCTTTGGGGGTTGCCTTTTTAAAGAAAGGCCATTATGATAAGCTCCTTTTGGTCTTTTTATGATCAAGCATCTCATTGCTACAATAATAGCATTACCCTGAAGCTGAACTACACTGAGTTTCATTTTGCAGACTACTGTTTCCCCCTAGTTTCCTCCCAGAATATACATTGTAAATCATTATCTTTTCCTGTTGAATTATTTATACTTGCCATCTTCTCGAGGCACCTGGGTGGCTCAGTTGGTTAAGTGTCAGACTTTAGCTCAGGTCATGATCTCACATTTTGTGAGTTTGAGTCCCCCATCGGGCTCTGTGCTAACAGCTCAGAGCCTGGAAGCCTGCTTCAGATTCTGTGTCTCCCTCTCTCTCTGCCCCCTTCCCCACCTGTGTTCTTGTCTCTTATCTGAAAAGTAAATTAACATTTAAAAAAATTACATACTTGCCATCTTCTCTACTCCTATTGTTGAATTGCTTAGTTTCTTTATATTATTATGTGTTTAAAAGTAGACTTTAATAACTCCAATTCTGATTTTCATTGTGGTGGTTAAAGATTCATTTAGTGGTGTTGGTTTTTACAATCTAAAATCCCTCACTTCATGATCTATTTGCACAAATGTAAAGAGGCACTGTGTTACGTTAGTTAATTGCCTCTAGTTATATGTGACTTTTTGATGGTGGAGAAAAGGAATTTCTCCTTTTTTAGGGGGTGGAGGGAGGAGTCACTAAGACTTAGATGTACATTCTTTCTGGCTTTCAGAGATCCAGGTACATGTAAACTAGCTAAAGAGATTCTTTTAAAATGTTTCCATGATTTGGTCTCTGTGCAAGTGTTGTGAAAGTTACAGATAAGGGAGTATTTGTGGTCATTGGAGGCTATTTTAGTGTTTAGGTAGTCTGGAAAGGGCTCAAAAACTGGTTTAGGGTGGTGGTTTCACTTCTGTGCTAAAGGGCAGCTTGGGCAAAAGTTTCTTCAGGTTTGTTTCTGTCTGTCTGTCTCTCTCCCTCCCTCCCTCTCTTTCTTTTATTTTATTTTTAAGTAATTGCTATACCCAACATGCATTTCAACTGTACAACCCTGAGATCAAGAGTCACATGCTCCACTGACTGAGCCAGCTAGGCACCCCAGTTTCTTCAGATTTCTTAAGTAATTTTAGTTTCTTCAGGTTAAAGACGTGTGTGTGTGTGTGTGTGTGTGTGTGTGTCTTGACCAAGATAGGTTTCCCCATCATAATAAATGGGGAATAAATACAAATATAACTATCTTAATGTTTTAGCTTATTAAACTGATGAAGTGATTTTTTGATACCTTTGTTTTGTTGGCATCTTGCCAGTGTGTACATTTATGTGATTTCAAAATATGTTTTTGAATCTAGATCAGATCAACCATTGGCTTGCCCTCTAATAAAGTCAGCTGAAAGTGACTGCTCAAGTTTCTTCAAGATGCCTGCAGCACTTGTGGAGAACAGCCAGGTTATCTGTGAAGTCTGGGCCAGCAATCTAGAAGAAGAGATGAGGAAGATCCGAGAAATTGTGCTCAGCTATAGTTATATTGCCATGGTAAAGAGCTCCACTCTTTCTAACTCACCTTCTGCTGCGGACTTAGGGAATACTCAGTGTGAGATTTTGAAGGAAAGACTTCCACCAAAGCCATGGTAAATTAAACTTGGTGGAAGGTTGTGAAGCTTTTATGAAACCTCAAGGTAGTCAGTGGGTCTGAGAAGGATGTAACCTCTAGTATCTTAGACTTTTTGTAATGTTACTCTGTATTGACAAATGTTTAAGGCAAAAGTTGTGTTAGCCAGTAGGGCACATCTATACCACAGATGCGGTGAATTTGACAGTGTTTTTTTAAAAATTAGTTATCAGCATTTAAATATAGAGAGACCTCTCTTAAAGCCCAGATTTCTGGTATCTCTGGAAAACACTGGGAAGATCTGGCATGGGATTCGTATTCTTGCCTGGCGGTGAGTGGCTGGAGAGGCAGATGTGTGTCATGGTGATACCAACGGTCTCTTCTAGAGGAGGATGTACCTTCTGTGCTCCAGTCCCCATTACTCATAAGCATTACGTCTTTAGCCTTGTATTTAAAATTCTCTGTGGTCTTGTTCCAGGCTTTTTACTCAAGGTAAGTATAGCAGTTGTTTTTTTAAATTACTGTTTCACTTCCCCATATTTGTAGTTTTGTTCATACTTTGTTCTTAATCTAGACTTTTTTTAATTCACCGTATACGAACCTAGCATGTCCTTAATTGATCTATAGTTAGTCAGCCGCTCTTACATCCTGCCTAGGATCTCCTCTAAGTTGCTGCACAAAGCTTCATGATTCTAGTGCTCCTTCTGTAGATATCAATGAAATCAATATTTAATTTTTAAAAATATTTATTTATTTTTGAGAGAAAGAGAGCGAGTGGGGGAAGCGCAGAGAGGGGCACAGAGGATCCTAAGTGGAGTCAGTGCTGACAGCAGAGAGCCCGACGTGAGGCTCGAACTCATGAACTGTGAGATCATGACCTGAGCCGAAGTTAGATGCTGAGTTGACTAAGCCACCCAGGTGCCCCAAAATCATATATTTCTTTAAATAATTTTTTTAATGTTTATTTATTTTTGAGATAGAGACAGAGCAGGAGTGAGGGAGGGGCAGAGAGAGGGGAAGGCATACGATCCAAAGCAGGCTCCAGGCTCTGAGCTGTCAGCATAGAGCCCAATGCAGGGTTTGAACCCACAAAAACGCGGGATGACGACCTGAGCTGAAGTCAGATGCTCAATCGACTAAGCTATCCGGGCGCCCCCCAAAATCAATTATTTTAAGATAGGTTTTTGTGCCCAAGCTTGGGCTTGTCATATAACTTTTATAAATTGAGATAAAATTTTTATGAATGATAAATTCAGCATCCACTGTTTTGTGAAACCTAATGATGACAGACCTTTTCCTTTTCTAGGACACAGAATTTCCAGGTGTTGTGGTGCGACCAATTGGTGAATTTCGTAGTTCCATAGATTACCAGTATCAGCTTTTACGGTGCAATGTTGACCTTCTAAAAATTATCCAGCTGGGCCTTACATTCACAAATGAAAAGGGAGAATATCCTTCTGGAATCAACACTTGGCAGTTCAACTTCAAATTTAATCTTACGTAAGTGAGACACTTCTCAGTGTTATTCTTAGATCTGCTACATTTGTACAGACTGTGATCTCTAACTGATTTTATTAATTTAAAGTTTTCTTTCTGTTGAAACCAGGTAAGGATTGGACACAGCAGCCAAACAGAGAATGGAATAAGGAATCTCAGAAAGTAAAGTCCCTCTTAAAGAACACTTACAGGTCAACAATAAAAAGACAACTCAGTTAAAAATGGGCATCAGATCTGACTAGAAATTTCTCCAAAGAAGATATAGATATGGCTAATAAACCCATGAAAAGATGGTCACCACCACTAGTCATGAGGGAAATAAATGTAAATCAAAACCACAGCGAGCCACCCACTGGGTGGCTATAATGAGAAAGACACAAGAACAAATGTTGGCAAGGGTGTAGAGGAATTAGAATCCTCACACATTGCTATTGGGAAAGTAAAATGGTGCAGCCTCTTTGGAAAATAGGCAGTTTCTCAAAAGGTTAAACAGAGAGTTACCACATGTCCCAGTAATTTCTGTTCTAGGCATATACCTCAGAGAAATGGAAACACACATCCATACAAAAACTTGTATGTGGTGAATGTTCATTATAGCATTATTTGTACAGGCCCTAAAGTGGAAACTATCCAGATGTTTGTGAACTGATGAATGGATACAATAAATGTGGTATATCCAGGCAGCGGCTTATTGGGACAGTAAAAGAAAGAAGTACTAATACATGTTGTCTATTGATGTGCTTTGAAAACATTATGCTAAGGGAAAAAAGCCAGACACAAAAGACCATGTATTGTATGATTTTGTTTATATGAAATGTTCAAAATAGGCAAATCTGTAGAGTCAGAATAGGTTAGTGGTTGTCTAGAGTATAGGGGGGTTATGTTATGGGGCAGTGGGGAATGATTGCATAATAGGTATGGGTTTTCTTTTTGAGGTGATGAAGTGGCCTGTGGTGGTGGTTGCACAACTCTGAAAATATTGAAAACTGTTGAATTGTATATTTAAATGAGTGAATTGTTTAGTTACGTGAATTATAGCTGTTTAAAGTGAAAGAGTAAAGTCAGTTCCCCAGTTAGGGGATCAGTGTTTGAATTGCATTTCTGCCATTTTTTAGCTGGGTGGTTTGGAGTTCATTTTATCTTCTGTAATTCAGTTTCCTTATATGTAAAATAAGATTACTATGTTTCATAACAGAAGAAATAAGCTATAGAGTAGATGCTAATCAAGAGTAGGTGAAACTGAAGCCTGATAGTGGGCAAATTTTGATGTTTTAGAAACGTGGGTAAAAAAATACATAACATAAAATTTGCCATCGTAACCATTTTTAAGTTTGCAGTTCAGTAGTGTTAAGTAAGTTTGCATTGTTGTGAAACAGAACTCCAGAACTCTCTCGCAAATCTGACACTCTACCCACTAAACAGCTCTCCTTTTTCTTTTTTTTCTCCAGCTCTTGGTAACTACCGTACTACTTTCTGTTTCTGTCTATTTGACTATTTTAGATACCTCATATAAATGGAACCACTCAGTATTTGTCTTTTTGTGACTGGCTTATTTCACTTAACATAATATCCTTAAGGTTCATCCATGTTGTGGCATGTCAGAATTTCCTTTGTTTTTAAGACTGAATAACATTCCGTTGTATGTTTAGACCACATTTGTTTACCTGTTCATCCACTCATGGACATTCGATTGTTTCCACCTCTTGACTTTTTGAGTATTGCTGCTATGAACATGGATGTGCAGATAATCTTCATGACCCTGCTTCTAGTTCTTTTGGATATATACCCAGAAGTGGGATTGCTGGATCGTTTGGTAGTTCTGTTTTTAAGTTTTTGAGGATGATATAATTTTTTATGGGGAAAAATTAGGGGAGACTATCATTTTGCTGATTGTATGAGGTGGTTTTAGTGTATTTCTTACTGGACCACAGTTCTTGAATACTGCATTCTTTAACTGGGCACTAGGAGCATTTGGTAGCTCAGGAATAATTTTTTGATTGTTCATGTGCTTTGGAGATTTCTTTGAGGTCCAGGAATAATTTGGGGAGACGATCTGGATTTTTCCTTTAACTTCCCTTCCTTTTTCCGTTAATTCTTTTTTTTTTTTTTTTTTTTTTTTTTTTTTTTTTTTTTTTTTAGTCCATTGTCAAAGCCTGTTATTTATACCTTAATGGTAATTAATACACAAAGGAAAATAAAAAATTCCCTAGTTGTGTTTTAAGTTTATGTGAAAAACAAATGAAAGGAAAAAAAAATAGTGAAATCTAGTGGAAAAGAAGTTAACGTAATGGAAGGATCCATCAGAAAATGATGTCTTTTCCCCCCTACTTTTGTGATAGGTGGTATTATAAATATTCCTGTGTTTACATTGATGGATGTATCTTTGCAGTGGAGTATTATGCCAGAGTTGCAAAGGATGTGTATTTATCAGTATTGGTCTGGAAAGATGGTCTGTGCTATGTAGGTGTAGAGATGGAGGTTGTTGTGTACATGGAGAAAATAGTCTGAAGGCTATATAAAATGAGTTAACAGTTATTTCTGTGAGGTGGTATTATAAGAACATTTTTAAGAGTATTCTATTTTAAATGTTTTTGTATTGGTTGATTCTGTTTTTCTTTAAACAGTGAGAAATGTGGACCTTTTGTATTTAAGAAATTTATTTTGTGGGGGCAAATCTCACTTTTCCATCTGCCGCAGAGATAAGATTATCTACTTTGCATGCTTGTTGGAATATTGGAAAGAATGAATTGATCTGTTCTTAAATTATGAAAGCCTTTCAAGGATACCTGTTCTGTAATTATAAGATGTTAATTTTAAGGTGATGTTAACATTGCTGCCCACTACTTCTGTTAGATTATCCACCACTAAGAAGTGAATACCTTCTTTTTTAGAGAGGACATGTACTCCCAGGATTCCATAGATCTCCTTGCTAACTCAGGACTACAATTTCAGAAGCACGAGGAGGAGGGGATTGACACATTGCACTTTGCAGAGCTGCTTATGACATCAGGGGTGGTTCTCTGTGACAACGTCAAATGGCTTTCATTTCATAGGTCAGTCTCAGAGCATCTATATTTCTCTTTCTTTGGCAGCAGGGGATTGCATTCTGATGTTATTTTTGCAGTACTGATTGCTATCTTCTTCCGGTGACTTATGAAGCAGTTATGAAATTGAAATGGTAACTGGCCCATGTTTCAGTTTTTCAAAAAGTACTTTGGAGCACATACTGGTTTGTTTCATACAGTATTGGGTTCTGTCATTTGGCTATCAGTGGGTACATTCCAAGTGGAAAGATGGAGGAGGGGATCAAAGCACTTGATCATCTTTTTCTCTTAAATGAATGGCCTGGAATTTCCTAGGTACTCCAAAGACAGATTCCTCTTAAGAGATGTTAATTTACATTTTCAGTACTTTAGAATTTTTGGTGGATAAAACCCATATTTTTAAACCCTTGGGTTCTCTTGTATGTCTCTCATATTAGTGTGGTTTGTTAGTATTTAATAGAAAGTTGAGATTACAGTAGGATAAACTAGTTTGGAACACTGAAAGTTACTCACGGGGAGTATCATTAAGTTTTGAGAAATAAAGCAGTTGAATGCTGGGGCCTGGTAACTGCTGTTTTTTCACTCCTTGCCTCATTTTCTCTTGTAGTGGCTATGATTTTGGCTACATGGTAAAGTTACTTACGGATTCTCGTTTGCCAGAAGAGGAACATGAATTCTTTCATATTCTGAACCTTTTTTTCCCATCTATTTATGATGTGAAATACTTGATGAAGAGTTGCAAAAATCTTAAGGTACACAATATATATATTTTTAAATTTTTTTCTTAATGTTTCTTTATTTTCGAGAGAGAGAAGAGACAGAGCATGAGAGAAAGACTGAGAGCATGAGTGGGGGAGAGGCAGAGAGAGAGGGAGACACAAAATCTGAAGCAGGCTTCAGGCTCTGAGCTGTCAGCACGGAGCCCGATGTGGGGCTCGATCTCACGAACTGTTGAGATCACTACCTGAGCCCAAGTTGAACACTTAACCGACTGAGCCACCCAGGTGCCCCTACAATATTTTCTTAATATTAGTAACAACAACAAAGACAAAAAAGCAGACTTGTCATTTGGCTTCATTGCTGTTTTTAGAAATTATTTGTCATTGTTCTGCATTCTTGAGCGCCAGCTAGGTGCCAACATGGTGCTAGAGAAGTACATATAGAGCTGATTGGCACAGGGATTTGTGTGGTGAATGTCTTTAATCTGGGTATGAAGGGAGCCCTCTGCTTCTCTCATCTTGAGGGAGGAGTTCTTCACTTAGGGCCCACAAACCTAGTGAAACAGTTGGCACCGTGAGGTGTATGTGCAGTTTGTTAAGGATGGGGTCTGGAGCGCACCAGACTCTCAGATGGATTCGTAAGTTGAGATAGTTCGAGAACTCAACACCCTAATAAATTGTTGACATAAGAGATTTGCTGTCTAGAATTGGATTGGTATTTGACTATTTGCTCAGTTTTTATAGCAGTTAGGACTTTAAAATGGGGCAGAGGTCTAACACTATTAATAGTGTATAAAAGAAAGGAGTTGAAAGTGAAATATAACACAGTATATCGTGTGGAGGGCTGAACAGGGGATATTGCTGGGGTAATAAGGCCTTAGCAAATGGCTCCCACTTGTCATTCCCAAAATAATTAAACACAAGAATGGACTTAGTTGACTCCAGTAGACGAGTGGCGGGTCTGAAATATTATCTTTATTTTCTTTACATCTGCAGGGAGGTCTTCAGGAAGTTGCCGATCAATTGGACTTGCAGAGAATTGGAAGGCAGCATCAGGCAGGCTCAGACTCGCTGCTGACGGGAATGGCATTCTTCAGGATGAAAGAGGTAAGGTGGTGGGTTGTCTTTGTGGACCAAGATTTGTTGAAAATTTATAGTTCTTTTGGAAATTGACCACTTTGAAAGCAGTTGTTTTGTTTGTTTGTCATTATGTTCAGTATCCTAAATGTAGTTTGGGAGGCAAAGACACATTCTGAAATGGAGGCCACTCAGCATGCTCAAGTGTAGACATGTACTGGGCGTTCTTAGCAGTTCTCATTCTTGCAGTTATTTGCTTTTCTTCTCGTTTTTTCTTCTCTCATATAAACAAATTCACGTTTGTTCAAACACTCATTTTATGCTTAAATTCTGTTACTTACCAAATGCCTGGCAGCTAACATCATACTCAGTGGGGAAAAGCTGAAAGGGTTTCCTCTAAGATCAGGAACAACACAAGCATGCCCCCTCTCACCACTTTTATTTAACATGGTATTGGAAGTCCTAGCCAGAATAATTAGGCAAGGAAAAGAAACACAAGGAATCTAAATCAGAATGGAGGAAGTAAAACTCACTATTTTCAGATGACATGATATTATACATAGAAAACCCTAAAAAGTCTACCAAAAAAACTCTTAGAACTAATAAATGAATTCAGTAAATAAAATTTCAGGATACAAAGTCAATATTCAGAAGTCTCTTGTGTTTCTGTACATTAATAATGTACTATCGGAAAGAAATTATGAAACAATCCCATTTATAACTGTATCAAAAAGAATCAAATATGTAGGAATAAATTTAACCAAGGAGGTAAAATACCTATACCCTGAAAACTGTAAGACATTGAGGAAGGAAACTGAAGAAGACACAAATAAATGGAAAGATATTCAGTATTCATGGATTGGAAGAATTAATATTGTTAAAATGTCCACACTATCCAAAGCAGTCTACAGATTCAATGAAATCTCTATCAAAATTCCAATGGCATTTTTCACAGAAATAGAACAAATAATCTTAAAATTCGTGTGGAACCACAAAAGACCCCAAATAGTCAAAGCATTCTTGAGAAAGAAGAACAAAACTGGTGGCATCATGCCCCCCCAAGCTTCCTTTGGCAATATCTGGAGACATTTTTGGTTGTCACAATGTGGAATAGCAGGGGAGAGGTCCTCTACTGGCCAGGGACACTGCTAAACATTCTACAGTACCATAGTGCACTGGACAGCTCCCCTCCTTGCCCCTCAACAAGGAATTGTCCTGCCCAGGAAGGCCAAGGTTGAGAGAACTCTGCTGAAGTGTGTGATATCCAGTATCTCACTTGTAACAGCCTACTGTTACATTATCCTGTTTTATAGATAGGGAACCGTGGCTTACGGACAGGTATAGAGTGTATAGCCCAAGCTCTTGACCACTGCACTGCTTGTTAAAGAGAAGGGAGATGGAGGTGGCTGTATTAAATAGCAGCAGCAGCAGCAGCAGCAGCACACGGATCCTGCCAGTAAAAGAACTCATGGAGAATAGAAGTCTGTTCAGAAAGGAGAGCCTATATATAAAAGGAGCGTGAGAAGACTGTGTATAGGAAATGTCTTGAGCCTTTCTTAATGAAGTTACTTTCTAGTTGGGTAGATTTTCAGGGCTTTAAGACAGTTGGGAGGTGCTGATATAGTAGTGTGGAGACTTGGCTGGACTCTGGGCGTGATTCTCACCGTGAGTTCTCTGTCCTATTCTGCAGTTGTTTTTTGAGGACAGTATTGATGATGCCAAGTACTGTGGGCGGCTCTATGGCCTAGGCACGGGAGTGGCCCAGAAGCAGAATGAGGATGTGGACTCTGCCCAGGAGAAGATGAGCATCTTGGCCATCATCAACAACATGCAGCAGTGATGGCGGCGAGGCTCTGGAGGGTGGGCCTGATCCCAGAGTGGTGCTTATGTGCTGACTGTTTGTGTGTACTTATCTTCCTCCCCAAGAGAAAACGCTTCTTTTGAGCAAACCGTACCTACCATCTGCGTTGACAGAAAGACTTCTGTTGCATTGAAGACAAAAGACGTCTTTATTTTAGATCCAGAAGAGGGGTTTGCTCTGAATTTGTAAACAAGTCTTCCCTATTCCTCATCCCCAAGCCTCTCCAATTGCTTCCTGCCACCAGCATCCATGGCTCATTTGACACCTTTTTAAATATCCGGGACAAGTCAGAGACGAACTAGTAAAATATATATAATTCTCATCTGTGTCATTATTTTTCTTTTAAATCTGTTGCTCATCTCTGAGGATGAAGACTTCTTGATGTGATTCTCAGCTGAGCTGAGGGCTTCCAGGGAAAGTGGAACGACGTGGCGTTCTTGTGAAGTGGGATATAGATGTCTTTTCCTTCCTTTCCTTTTTAAAAATCTTTTTTGACCCTTCTCAAGGACATTTGCTTTCTTTACACTTTGTTAGTCTTTCGTTGTGTACTATTATGTGGAAATGAATTACTCAGTGCTGACATTTTGAAGACGAGATAATGAAAACTTTTATTAAAAACAAAATTCTTCTGAATCTGTCTACCCTTTATTCATGAGGAACTCCAGAACGGGTGTTAAGTTAACCACTTACGCGTCTTTAAGTCTCTGTTCCATTGTGCCACTGAGATTTGCTGTCACATGTTTATCATTTGAAATCATTTTAAATTTTAATAAAATATGCTGGATTTGTTCCTGAAGGAAATAAGATCAGAATTTTGGACCATAAGTCTTATATTTTCAGTAATGTGATTTCAGATGGTCATGTGTATTCCCCCATGTCTCTTTGTTCTCCCTGCCTTTCCTTTCAGCAAACCTGAGAAGTTAGGGAGATGGATTATGTGAGTACCAGCAGTGTGTTTAAAAAGTTATAGTGGTACATGTAAACAGGGCAGTAAGGAATTTGGTTAGAGTTTTCTTGGAATAATATCCCACAACGGGTGTAGGAAGCTCAGGACTGTGATTTTTTTTTTTTTTTAAACTGGTCATTTAAAAAATGCATTGTTTTTTGAATGACTACAGTATGGCCAATTTAGAAAAACCAAAAACCCCTTTGAAATGGTGGAAATAAAAACTGGTAACTCACTGAAGTGGATGAATAGTCTTGCATTTTAAAAGCTTATGAAAAACTCAATTTCAGATGATTCAAAATGTCAAGTATTATAAGCTGGTATTTAAGATGCTTGTAAATATTATTTATGTTTTTAATTTTGTAAAATAAAGATTTCTTTTTAACCACTGGCATGAAGGTTTGGTCTTTTATAGCTATTAATTACTGGCTGTAGGAGATGGTCATTTGCAGTCAGTGCCTGGAAGCATCTTGACTGTCCCCAAACTCGTCTCAGTTTTCCACAAGTTGGTGTGCATATAAAATGTCTCATTTTGTAGGAGGTTTTTAATGACCAACTGTGTAAATGGAATGGTCTCTTCACTTCACAACCCCCCACTGATCATCCAGCCTTAGTGGGAAAACTAGTTTTAATTCTAGTTCCTGGGACCACTTTACTCCATTTGGTGGATTAGCTTGTTCATTAGCAGACTTTATAGACAAAGCGAGCTTCTGGTATTGTAGAGTTGGCTCCACACTATTTACAACCCTTCCTATTGGCACAAAACAAGGGGTTGTAAGAAGTCTGGTATAGGAGCCAATCTAGGCTTTTGCCTGGGATGTTCACAATTAGGAAGAGAGGTATATATCACTGTGATTTGTGGTAAAGGCAGCACAGGTCAGGGTCAGTGGTTCTCTTTCAAGTTCTTTGGCCTGCTGGTGACTGAGCCCTGCATAGGTGTCCTAAATTTAGATTCAAATGGGGAATTTTATCTTTGCCACACTTGAGGACAGATGTACATGTCAGGAGAAGTATTGAGATGAAGGGTTGAGGAACTCTGTGTCAAGTGGGGAGTCTGGTCACTGCATGGGAGGGATGAGAATTTATTAAGGTGTTCTTAAAGGGAACAAGTCTAGTAGAATTGGCAAAAACTTCACCTTGTATATAGATATGTGAGTGCATTTAGGGTTTTGTGAGTGGTTATCCTCAGAAAGGGATGGTCCTGTAGAGTAACCAAGAGAATGCTAATTATGGGTGAATTCAAGCCCCTCTGTATAAACTGCCAAATGTTTTTAAATTTGTGGTTCTGCTAATGCAATAAGGTTGACTACCAATGACAAGCTTAATTGTTAGCTTGTCCTGATATGCATGAGCTCAGTTTAGAGTCAGATTTTAAGTCCAAGCTATTAATGAGTATTCTAATTTCTCAATTTATTCAGTCTGCAAGTTTCTATTGTGCACCTACTAGATAACAGACACTGTAAATAGGTGCTGGGAAAATAGCACATGGAAGACATAATCTCTACCAATCTCATTGGAGCTTACAATCTGCATTGCCAAAGTACATAATTCACAAAAATACAGTGTGAGCTGTAAAGTACAGCACGCTGATGTCTTTTAGATTGAGGTTCAGGGACAGTTATTAGAGAAAGGACATTTAAGCTGAGATCTAAGAGATGGCTAAGAATGGACCAGGCAGAGGAACAACATGAAAAAGCTACTGAGACAATATGAGAACTTGGTGGATTCCAGCAGCCTAAGAGACCAGTGCGTGTGGAATCTAGAAGCAAGGATGTGAGTGTAAGAACAGGAGTCCAAGAGGTAAAGGCTGGGATCAGGCAGGGCCTTTTAAGCCCTGCAAGATGATTTTTTTTTCCAGTAACAATGGGAAACTACTGCAATAATTTTTTATCAGGGAATTGTCAAGATCTGATTTATAATTCAGTCACTGATGTCATACCAAGAAGATTCTTCATCCCCAGTAACAGTGCATCTTCTTCTCAAAGTTCAAGTAACTGTATAAAGAACTATGAGCATCTAAATTCTATGGTATTTGCTTTTGGGTTTAGCATTTTTAAATTCTAAAGCTAGGTCGAATTCAAACAAAACCCCTGGTCAGTCAGATCTGTGTCTTAAACTTTTCTTCCTAGAGTTCCTGTGAATGAATTTTATTCTTGCTGTCCACAACAATGCCAGCCATAGGAAACTAAAAAATAAACTGGACATTCAAGCAGAAAAGCTTTCATAATGAATCCCCAAAGAAAATAGTTACATTATTGGGAAAGAGTGCTCCCTCCCAACCCTACCCCAGACTGATGTTTATATCCCAGCAACTGGGCTATTACAGAAACATCTGTTCCTGACATTGTTCAACTATTTAACCAAAGAGAAGAACAGACCTCAAGAGAATGCTCAATAATGGGGGGGGGGGGGAGAACAAGGATTTATAATTGAATAGTATATAGGATCCCATTATGCTGGAGTCCAATAATCCAAAAGCTACATACACAAAATTATGCATTATTCTTCAAAGAGCATCTGTGGTTCTAATTCTCAAAGGGTCTATGATCGAAAAAAGATTAAGAACCACTGAAATAGCAATTTCTTCCTGAGCTACTGTGATCACCATTAATAATTTCTTATAAAACTGAAAAACTGAAGGGATAAGACACATCTGAGTTTTAGTTATTTGTTCTTCTAAAGCTTTAGTAAATGATGTGTTCAAGTAAGCAATTACATGAAACAAAACCAAATTTTTGATCTAAAGTTCAGATGGAGGGTAGAGTCAACATGATGGGTAAAGACCTATTTCACATTCAAAGTTCAGTCTTTGAAAGAATAGCAGGGAAGAACCCAAGTTAACAAAAACAGTAAAAAAAAACAAACAACAAAAAACAAGCCAAGTCATAAAAGATATCAATTCTATCTCCAACAAGAATGGCACATTTACCACCAGGCAAAGTATTTATAAAGGTAGTTTGTGTTTAAGAACGTAACACTTTGGGTGATTAAAAAGTTTCTCCTCTTTGGGTGAAACCTGCATAAGGCTTTACAGATGACCAACAATGAATCATACTGCAGGTGTTAGTTCTGAATACCTACTTCTAGCTTTTCATGATCTTTTCCTCCAGTAGGAAACCACAATTGAGTCCAAAGTCCGATTCCACTATGTCTAGGGGTAGAGTCAATTCAAACTTGACCCTCATTTGTATTATTTGGATCACTGCAAAAACATCTAGGGATCAAAGAGAATGTCTGGCGCGGTGTCACGGTGGTGAAGGGTGTTGTACGTTGGAATTTGGCACAGTTTCCTTAAAGGTCCTTGAAAATTCACGTGCAGAAGGTCTGGCAGTATCTTCTGTAAACTTTAGTGTTGCCATATTTCTGAAGGAGCTCTTGGGCCTGCTGCTGCATGTCCTGGGTTACGCTGCCAGGACACTGGGCCCCGATGTGAAGCAGAATGAGACAGCACTCCAGCACATCTGGGAAGGGCCAGATCTGAAAGGGGACACAAGGATGAACAAGGAAGCATTTGGAGGACTCACAAATACCTGTACAGAAGGCACCAGCAACTCAAAGTCTCATCTAGTGACACTACTCAGGCATGGCTGAACTGAGGAAGGCTCTTCCTCAGTAACTCTAAGGGTAGATGATACTCAAAACTGGGAGGGCTCAGACTGGGGTATCCTTCTCAAATGACAGAATCATCTTCTAGAGCCCTACTCAATTCATTCAAAACATGACTCTCCTCTAATACCAGGGCCACATTCAAATACACCTATCCATCTGTAAGCTATCAAATATATGGTACCAATTTTAATTTTATTTTTACTTCCCAGATGCAAAATGTGTTCCATTTCTCTGAAGACCGAGGTATAAAATTGCTTGTGTTGCCAATAATCCTATTCTCACAAAACATTTTAGTTAACCCAAGACAACGGGATCCTAAATTTTTAAGCATATACAAATGTGTAGCAATTTTATAAATGGAACACAAAATTAGATGACCTTAAAGAATTTGGTCCAGTCAGTGGATAATATAAACAATAATGTTTTATTAAATGAACTGATATCTTACCTTAACACTCTCAGGAAATTTAGCTATTCTCTCATTTGCCTCCGTAAGACTTTTGGTTAATTCAGGCAGAGAAAGTGGCTGATTTTTTTCTTCTTTACTGGTAACAATAAAAA